GAGGACAGTCCCTGTGCAGAGAGCCCACCCGAAAGTGCCGGACTGGTTAAGGTACGGCTGGTTTTAAAAAACGGACCCCTCACGTGGAGTTTTACAAAACAAACTGTTTTTTAGGTTGCCTTTTGTGCCGTATTATGTAGGGACAAATGTACCACACTAAAATAATTCCCAGAAAAATCCTGGAGAACACGTGCTCTTTTTAAGAGTTTAAAGAGTTCCACCAATTAGAATACTATGAGGTGACACTGTGCGGTCTTTTTTAAAATAGTGTTGTTTTGCCCTGACCAGTTTGGCTCAGTGGATAGAGCGTCAGCCTGCGGACTGAAGGGTCCCAGGTTTGATTCCGGTCAAGGGCATGTACATGGTTGCGGGCACGTCCCCAGTAGGGAGTGTGCAGGAGGCAGCTGATCGATGTTTCTCTTTCATCGATGTTTCTAGCTCTCTATCCCTCTCCCTTCGTCTCTGTAAAAAAATCAATAAATATATTTTTTTAAAAATAAAATAGTGTTGTTTTACCACCAAAACTCCTTGATGCTTAATAATTACGCTTAAGCATGCTGGTTGCCATGGACAACCTTATGTGCTACTTTAGTTTTCTTTTTCGTTATGTATTCCTTGGTGTCATCAAGGCAAAGCGTTGTGTGTGTGTTCCTTGGTGTCACCAAGGCAAAGCGTTGAGTCGGGTTGTGATTTACGTGTCGTTTTGTCTGAACGCTCTTTTTATTTATTAGCTTGACGACAGTCTGGAGGAGGACCTGCTGCCAGCTGAAGGAGGCGTCCAGCAAGCGCAAGACGAGTTCTTTCTTCTGGAAGCAAAGCGGGGACAGGAAGTTGTTCTGGCAATTTCAAACTTAAACGCGCAAGAAACAGAAGATCATTTTGCTTCTAGTCAGCCACCTGTTGAAACAGCCAGCTCTCCAAAAACTCAACAGAAGACCAAGGGTAGGCGGGTTCATGGTGTGACAGACCCTGCATAAAACTGGCTGCTGTTGACGTTTTAAGTGGTTGACTTCTGGTTGCTCTCAGAATGTCAGGAAGTGGGAGAAATGTTAAACTGATGTTGTATACTGTGCATCAGAGCCAAGCGTTTTGCATTTTGCACACACATGTTTTAAAAGCGTAGAAAATGCTCCTGCAAAGTGCTGTGCATGTACAAAGAATGTTGGGCTTTGATCCACTCCCCAGTGTGCAGCCGCTCCGCGTCCAGGAGGAGTGATGTGGAGAAGGCAGCAGAGGCGCCTCTGGGGGAGAGGAAGGTGAGGTGAGGCCAGGAAAGGACTAGGAAACCACTCAGTGGGGACCACCCGTCCAGGCAGCAGGAAGTGGCCTGTGGGTGTGGCTTCATAATGAGGCTGGATGGTGCTCAAAGAGGGAGACCAGGCGAGATTAGGAAGGACCTTGAAGTTATGTTAAAACTGAGGTTGAGCCCTGGTGTGGTTCAATGGTTAGAGCACCCACCTGTGCACTGAGGGTCTCTGGTTCGATTCCCGGTCAAGAGCACATGTACCTTGGCTGAAGATTTGATCCCCAGACCCGGTTGGGAGGCATCCAATCGAAGTGTTTCTCTCACATCAATGTTTCTCTCCCTCTCTCTCTTTCTCTCTCTCTCTCTTCCCCTCCTCCCTCCCTTTCTCTCTAAAAATCAATGGAAAAAATATCCTTGGGTAAGGATTAACAACAAATTAAAAAACTGAGATTGAATCTTGGCAGCCCACAGGATGAATTTGACCTTCTAAATTATTTGTTTGGGTTTTTAAAAAAATAATTTCTTACTTGTTTAAATTAAGAGTTCACCCTCCAAATCTCAAATTTTACCTCATTTTTTTAAAGTCCTATTTGGCAACACTTGGCTCTGTTTCCTTGCTCCTGCAGCAGGTGGCTGGGCTGGGAAGTGACTTGGTTTAGAAAGTCACACCGCCACCACGGCCGGTGTCCAGGTCACTCGCTTAGCAGTTCCGCCGCTGGTTCCCGTCGGCGGTTGAATTTGCAACCCTCGCTATATAGTAGTTTCTCATATATTTCAAACAAGAGATTGTGCCCCCAAAATCCCAATTCCCAGCTCATTTCGGGTTTTTAACGTATTCACAAGTGTGTGCACTCACGGCCACTGTCTAACCCCAGCGTACCTTCATCACCCCCAAGAGAAAAAACTGGAACACAAAGAGCTTGTTACAGAAGCATCAACCGTGTCTCCTTCCCGCAGGCAGAGAGCAGGCCTTCCACTGCGATCTGTGCATGTTCACCACGGCCAGGGCGGCGAGCTTAAACCGCCACGTGAAAACCCACACCAACGAGAGGCCGCACGAGTGTCACCTGTGCCTGAAAGCCTTCCGCACGGTCACCCTCCTGCGGAACCACATCAACACCCACACAGGTGACCGCCGAGCAGGACGCGGCCCTGAGTGACGCGTGTGAAGGCGTTAAGAAGGCGCATGCAACCTGTTCGATGTTAAGATAACGTGTTGCTTTAGACTTTAGTTTTGTCTTGTTTTCTGCCATTTCAGTTAACAACACTGACGTTACAAAGATTTTTCTCGCCTCTGCCTGGCCTGTGTAAGGTTTACAGAGCAAGCCTCTTCGTCACATGTAATGCATGTTGAGGCTGAGTGTAATCCAGACGTTACACATTTCTAAGGAAACTTGTGGTGAAATCTTGCTGAACAGGATAAACTATGTCATTTTACAGGAACCAGGCCGCACAAGTGTGGTGACTGTGACATGGCATTTGTCACCAGCGGAGAGCTCATCCGGCACAGACGGTACAGACACACTCACGAGAAGCCGTTTAAGTGTTCCACGTGCAAGTATGCGAGCGTAGAAGTAAGTTCACACGTGTGCTTAAAGCTTCGTGGCGTCTTATTAGGAAGTTGCTGTAAATTACGTTACATTAAACTAACAGCAGAATCCCTTACAAAAGAGGTTTTATTAAAGATATTATTCATACACAGTCTATGCAGGAAATAATAGTCATTCAATTTTCTAAATTGAAAATAGAAAATTGGATTTCTTTTTGCTTTGATTACCTGTTAGCAAAAGCAATATATAAAAGTGTACAAATTACAAATAGAACTGCGTGAGGTGCTTGGGAAATAAATCTCAAATTATGCTCAAAGCTCTCCCTCGTATGTCAGGGAGCGCTCAGGTCCACAGACGCAAATGTACCCGCTCCACACAGACCCCAGACCCAGGCTGCAGGGTGGCTGACACTTTTGCCTCAGTGGCTCTTGGTCAGATACAAAGCGACTTGCTTGAAGGTTTAAACATACCATCCCCTGATACTACAGAGAAACCGAGTATTTCAAACGTCAGTCATGTGTCCCGGTCATATCAACCAGATCCTTTCATTTAGACCTTCTAGCAGGCTCAGCCACTCGCTGGATGGGACAAACGAACGTGACCCTTGCTTTCACTGTCTATTCTACGAGGAATTTTTAAGGACTCCGCTGTCTGTCGGGACACCTGTGGGACCTGGTTTTGAGCCCAGTTCGGACAGGATACTGCACTCCGGAGGGAACTAAGTTAAAGGGCGCGACTAACGTTGAAAGAGAGGAATGATGCAACCTCGTTTCACACACGGGGGAATTTCACGGACAGGGTCAGACTCTGATTCCAAGAATTTTTTTCTGCTCTTACTATTTTTGAAAGTTCTTTCCCATCCGAGTTAAAGGTTGTCACTTTAGTTTGAAAACACAAAAATGAAAGTTTCAAAGAACAAGGCCATCTGAGATGCTCGAGCCTGGAGTGGACTTTGGTTGGTCCCGAGGGTTCTGAGCGCACACATGGAGGTGCACTGAGACCCTCGTCCGGAGCCCGCCGTCTGCACGCAGCCTGTGGACTGGCCGGCCTGGCACTCGTGACCCCGTTTTATGAAGTTTCCAAGTCTTGCCGTACTGGTCTGCTTTAAGCGGGGCGTCCTGAGCTCCCCGCACCCCCACGCCATTTCTCACACAGACGCCGGCAGGAATGCATCACACTGGGGTGCCCAAGACATCCTGTGAAAGCTCTGAGCGCCCCCTCCCACACCCTCCCCTGCGAAGCCATCCATAGCTGCCTTTGATCATCACAGCCCTGATCATCACAGCCCTTCATCAAATCTTTCATGCTATCAACTTAAAAATTCTTTTTGTTTCACTTTCTGATATACAGTGGGGCCTTGACTTATGAGTTTAATTCGTTCCGTGACAGAGCTCGTAACTTAAATTACTCGTATGTCAAATCAAGAAGTGAACGAGTGAGACACATGATGCTGGGCTGATGTTGTGGTGTTCACTGTGACGTTCGCTGCGCCAACTAGCAGTGGGGTATCTGAAGCTGGCTCATAACCTGAATTTTAGCTCACAACTCAAAGCAAAAAATTGGCCGAGAAATGGCTCGTATCTCGAAAAACTCGTTAGTCGGGACACTCGTAAGTCAAGGCCCCACTGTACTTGAAGACATCTACTTTTCATCTGGAAAAAAAAATCTAATGCTTTTGGTTTAGATCTAAGTCTTCATTTGTTCTTGAATGTTCTTCGGGCTTATGTGTGCATGTCACTTATTGGGGAATGAGACCCAGAGACCACAGGCAGGGCATGCGGGCTCTCTGACTTCCGTCACCCCTGCCCTGGTTCTGGGGGGTAACAGAACCATCAGGCAAAAGTGATCAAATGGGAGGTAATGAGCGGTTTGCCTTCTCACTGGTTGCCTGGGGTACGTAATTAATCAAATTAGAATGTACGTTCTTCCACTTAAAAGTGACTCATTGTAAAGAAACTCCGGGCACATGGCACCATCTCTGATGGCCACGTGGGCCCCACAGAACCTGAGAAGGGCCTCAGGCAGGTGTCCGCCTCAGAGAGCGAATGTTTCAAAATCCTCATGTTACTTATGCAAACGAAAGCGCCCTGCTCTGTGCTTCTGCGTCGCGGCCTAAACTTTGCCGCCCGAGTGTAAGCGGCCTTGGAAGTGGAAATCAATCCCGTGCGGCACCGAGTGGCCAGCTTGCAGTGTTCCCTGTGGAACGTGAAGTTGAATCTGAGAGTCTCTGGAAACTACTGCTGGTTGCTCCCGAAGGATCTTAAACGCACGTCAAATGAAAAACAGTCATTCGCAACAGAAGATAAAAAGGAATGACCTCTTCGTGTTTCTCAGGGTGCCAAGTATGGTCTGAGGTTAAAATGTCAATCTCTCTTGCCGTAGCTGGTTTGGCTCAGTGGATAGAGCATCGGCCTGCGGACTGAAGGGTCCCGGGTTCGAGTCTGGTCAAGGGCATGTACCTTGGTTGCGGGCACATCCCCAGTGGGGGGTGTGCAGGAAGCAGCTGATCGATGTTTCTCTCTCATCGATGTTTCTTACTCTATCTCTCTCCCTTCCTCTCTGTAAAAAAATCAATAAAATATATTTTTTAAAAATGTCAATCTCTCTCTATAATGCTGATAGATTGGATCTAAAATTCTCTGGTTTCTCCTGCAAACAAGTACCTTCCATGTGTTTACTAGGCGAGTAAGTTGAAGCGCCACATCCGGTCACACACGGGGGAGCGTCCCTATCAGTGCCACCTCTGCAGCTACGCCAGCAAGGACACCCACAAGCTGAAACGACACATGAGGACACACTCAGGTAAGAGGGGCTCACGCTGGAGGCCACGCCTCAGTTCAGAAGTGAGCTGGTAAGACTTACTCTTCAGGTTCGAGCGTCAGGGTGAGTGTCTCCACGCCTTCTCGGCCTGGGGACTCGCTCTGTGCCTTTGCGTTTATGTGGCGTCCAGGAGCCCACGTAAGCCCTGTGCTGTCATGCCGCTGTGACAAGGAAGACACCATCAAGCATTTGCTGCCATTGGTTGTTCAGGATTTAAAAGTCAGCTCCTTAACGCATCCTCAACCTGGAAGCACGTAAAACAGAGCGCTGGTCCCAGCGTGCACGTACTTTATATTGCGTTGTAGAAGCAATAGGTTCCTATGTGCTTCTCAGCTCCTTACACTGAGGATGGGAACTAGATGGTGGTCTGGGCTCGACTTGGGAATTTTGTACTAATTGGGGGTGGACATAGGAGGAAGGGGTTGAAGAAGGGGCCCAGGGAACAAACGACAAGCTTTCAGCCCCAGTGTCCTTTGGGGAGGATGAGGGGTGCGGGGTGAGGCCCCTCTGCCAGGGTCGTCTTTGTCGTCACCCTGCAGGCGAGAAGCCCTACGAGTGTCACGTGTGCCACGCGCGCTTCACCCAGAGCGGCACCATGAAAATACACATCGTGCAGAAGCACAGCGAGAACGTCCCCAAGTACCAGTGTCCGCACTGCGCCACGCTCATCGCCAGGAAGAGCGACCTGCGTGAGTGTTTGAGTTGCTGAACTTCCTTCTGCAGGGGAACCTGTGGAGCCCTGGGCCTGATGCCAGGGCGGCAGCTGGGCTGCAGGAACTAGTCTGGGAACTTGTATTTTTTCCAGAAGTCCTGTGGTGCCATCTGGTGGCTGGTTTGCATAAGTGCAGCTTCGTGGTATTTGGTTGTGAGAAGGAAAGGATGCTCCTGGCATCTAGTGGGCAGAGGCCAGGGATGCTGCTAAAGGTCCTGCACTCTCCATGTGCTAATAGTGCTGCGTGAGGAACCCTGGCTTAGAGCAGCCTCACAGGAAATAACACCCCCAAATATAACGTCCTGTAACGGTTTTAGGGGTCCATATACACAACCTGCACACTTACAAAGCCGCAGGGATGGAGTGCCGCTACTGTCCTGCTGTCTTCCACGACCGCTATGGCCTCCTTCAGCACCAGAAAACTCATAGGAGCGAGAAGAAGTTCAAGTGTGAGCACTGCAGCTACACCTGCAAGGAGGTACTGAGGTTCAGTCGGTTTGGGGACGCGGTGGGAGGCCGTGGACGATGGGAGAATGGAGGGCTGGAGTGGAGTTTTCTGTCACTTTGAAAATGCTGAAAAAAGTCATGCTTTTATAAAAAGGCTCTTGAAAATAACCAGAAGGCAGCCATGAGCCAATAAATTAAAGCAACAGTTCCTAAGTATGGTTCATAGGCCCCTAGAGGTCCTCGAAACCAATCAGAGCCGTGAGATCAAACTTGTTATTGTTAACTAGAGGCCCAGTGCATGAAAATTCATGCCCTGGAGGGGGGCCCCTCAGCCCGGCCTGCCCCCTCTCACAGTCCGGGAGTCCTCAGGGGCGGGAGGCGACCCAGTGATCAGGGGAAGGCGATGCCCCATCACACCTCTGCTGCTGCCACTGCCGGCAGCGCAAGCCTCGGCCGGTCCTGGTTACCTGAGCCTCGGGCTGCCCTGGTTACCTGAGCCTCGGGCGGCCCTGGGCGGCTGGGGGACTGGGGGCTCCGGAGGCAGGCACGTGGAGCAGCCAGGTCTGCCTGGGGGTAGGCCCGGCCTTACCATGTGCCTGCCGCCCCAGCAGGGCTGAGGGGACTGGGCACCGCCATCTTATGGCTGTGGGCGCTGCCATCTTTGAGGGCATGGCAGTCAATTAGCATATTCCCTTCTTTTTGGCTCTGGGCGCTGCCATCTTTGAGGGCATGGCAGTCAATTAGCATATTCCCTCCTTATTGGCTGTGGACACCGCCATCTTTGAGGGTGTGGCAGTCAATTAGCATATCCCCTCCTTATTAGCTGTGGGTGCTGCCATCTTTGAGGGTGGGGCAGTCAATTAGCATATCCCCTCCTTATTGGCTGTGGGTGCCACCATCTTTGTGATGGTGTGAGGGTCAATTAGCATATTCCCTCTTTCTTAGATAGGATTGTCCTGGCCAGGTGGGTCAGATGGTTGGAGTGTCGTCCCCTACACCACAAAGGCTGTGGGTTTGATTCCTGGTCAAAGTGCATATGGGAAGCAACCAATCGATGTTTCTCTCTCTCTTTCCTTCTCCCTCTCCCTCTCCCTTTCCTTCTCTCTCTCTCCCTCTCTTTCTTCCTCTCCATTCCTCTCTCTCTAAAAATCAATAAAAACATATCCTTGGCTAAGGATTTTTAAAAATATTGTCCTTAAATAATGAATTAATGCCAATATGCCCTTCGTTGTGTGGCATTGGCCCTGTTGTGCAGGAGCCGTGGAGGTTCCTTAGTACAAAGCAAAGCAGTGCCCGTCACCATGTGCCCTTCACCTTCGTGCACGGGAAGCAGAAATAAAGGGCCGTGTTGCTCACTAATGTCCTTGGGGAAGCAGCAGAGCTAGGAACTGTATTCCGTCTGCACCCTGACTGCTCGGGTGGCGGGCTGGGGGTCGGGAGGAAGCACCTCCCCCTCTGAGGCAGGACAGCGTCTGGGGGACAGCGTCTGGGGGACAGTGTCTGGGGGACAGTGCCTGTGGGGACAGTGCCTGTGGGGACAGTACCTGTGGGGACAGTGTCTGGGGGACAGTGCCTGTGGGGACAGTACCTGTGGGGACAGTGTCTGGGGGACAGTGCCTGTGGGGACAGTGTCTGGGGGACAGTGCCTGTGGGGACAGCGTCTGGGGGACAGCATCTGGGGGACAGCGTCTGGGGGACAGTGCCTGTGGGGACAGTGCCTGTGGGGACAGTGCCTGTGGGGCTGCTGGGGGTGCCAGCTCAACCGGCCACTTTCCCGGGACCTGCGAGCACAAGCGACAAACTCCGCTTATTCAGTTCCTGGGTATTGAACAATACCAATACCTTCTTCTGGAAGGTAAACGAAGCAGGCACATCACTTCAGAGAAATATTGTGGCCAAGGATGCATCAGCTTTTAAGAGGGAATTAGAATTAGAATTTTGGGAAACTTATATCCAAAGATGGGAGTGACTTTAAGAAAGCAGTTTTGTATATGGTATAATGAAACGTGTTAGCATTCAGAAGCTCTTCGTAACTCAAACTGATTTTTTCCCAAACAACCAATCTATTATTTTACAAAATGAGGGCTGGGTGAAGAATCCATTCAAAGTATAAGACAGAGCAACGGATTTTCATGTAACAGAGTACAAAAGTTCATTGGGTGGTTTCAGATTCCACATTCTAGCCAGTTTTTAAGAAATACCACTTTTTGAGTTTTGGTGTAATATCAAAAAGAGAATGTCTACAATCATTTGAAAAGGCTATTAAAATTCTGTCCCTCTCCCAGCTACCTATCTGTGAGAGTAGATTTCCTTCATCTACTAGTATCTCCACCACAACACACCTCAGCCGACTGAAGGCAGAAGCAGAGAGAGAACCAGGCTGTCTTCGTTTAAATTTGAATTTCAGATAAACAAGTACTTTTGTATATATGCATGTCCCAAATGGTAACTGGCAACCCTATCTGCTAAGCCAGACACTCATTTTCGTTTTGAAAAAAATAATATGTGTTTATAGAAATAGGTTAACATGTCGTTGGTTTATTGTTCTTTTTAAAAGAATCTATAACTATTTTAATTTCTCAGTTTTGATTTCTAATAGAGTCAGTATTAATAATTTTTTGAGTATTAATAATGTTTAAGAGTAAAAGGGGTCCTAAGACCAAACGCGTGAGAACTGCCCTGGCCAGGGTGGCTCAGTTGGTTGGAGCATCGTCCTGTACACCGAAAGGGTTCGAGTCCCAGTCAGGGCACACACCCAGGTTACAGGTTCAATCCCTGTGCGGGGTGCATGCGGGAGTGCATGTTTTCCTCTCACATTGATGTTTCTCTCCCTCTCCCTTCCTCTCTTTCTAAAAAATCAATGAAAAGCCTATCCTTGAGGGAGGGTTTTTTTAAAAGGCACGTGCCACTTGGATATTTTTCCTGGTTAGGAAAGGTGGAAGTCAGTACTTACTGTGTTTCAGAGTAGGAGCTATAAATGGTAAATGCTTTAAGAAATAAATGAGGAAAGAAAAGAGGGAGTTTGTCTAGTAAACTTGGAGCATTGGAATATTCTAAGCTCAGGCTCAAACTTTTTTAAATGAACCAGGAGAATTTCCTGGAAGATGGACAAGACTTGGAGGGGAGGAGGGGCCCCAGGGGGGGTCAAGCAGAGCGCAGACAGGGGACCTTGAGCTGGGACGCTGCTGGGTGCTCTGAGTGCTTTGATTCTGGAGACCCAGGCTCCAGGTGGGACGGTGACTCCCAGCGGGGAGCCCGGGAGATGGTCCTGGAGATGAGAGGCAGGTGAAGGAGCGGAGGGTGATCCGGAGAGAGAGACACGAAGAAAGACTGTCCATTAGGTAATTAACAGGAGGGCGGAAGTGCTCATGTGTGTCATCTGAATAATCATAGCATTTTAGCCCTAGCCGGTTCGACTCGGGGCATAGAGCGTCGGCCTGCGGACCCAGGGTCCCAGGTTCGATGCCGGTCAAGCGCACGCCCGTACCTTGGTTGCAGGCTCCTGGCTCCTGCCCGGCCCGGGCGCTGTTGTGCAGGAGGCAACCAGTCGACGTCACATCAATGTCTTGCCCTCTCTCCTCCGCTCTCCCTAAAAAATGGAAAAATATCCTCGAGTGAGGATTAACAAAAACTAACAAACAGCAAATAATCATAGCATTTTAAATCAAATAAAATGTGTATTTTTGTTTGATTTTTATATTTTTTTGTCCTGATTCTCCCAAAATTCTTTTTTTTAATATATTTTTATTGATTTCAGAGAGGAAAGGAGAGGGAGAGAGAGATAGAAACATCAATGATGAGAGAGAACTATTGATCAGCCGCCTCCTGCACACCCCCCACTGGGGATCGAGCCCGCCACCCAGGCATCTGCCCTTGACTGGAATCGAACCTGGGACCCTTCAGTCCACAGGCCAACACTCTATCCACTGAGCCACACCAGCTGGGCTCTCCCGAAATTCTTTACTCATATAAATCTTGGTAAAATGTCTACTGTTTCTTTGCTGAGAGCAATCGTTTGCACCATGATGCTTCTAATTCGATGTGCAGGTTTGTTGTCATTCTATCAGGAAGTAGGAGGGAAATGGAAGCCTCTTTGCCTCCAGCCCCACACGGCCACTGAACTGGAACTCTATGTGTTTAATTTGCGAGTTCCGTCCGCCCTTCGGAAACGCAGCTCACTGCGAACAGTGCTGGAAGCGCGTCTGCAAATCCGTGGGCTCTGGAGGGAGCACGGTGGTCCTTTCCCTCCCGCGGTGTGCTCTCCGACCCGGGGCTGTGGGGCCCGCTGGAGCCTGGGCAGGCCGCCCACCGCTGTGTCGGGAATGTCTCCGCTGTGACTTTTCTTCGTCGTGCGCTCATCTTTGCGGGGGAAAGAAACACACGATGAATAATGTCTGACACAAAACGTCCCTGTGAAGAGCTGACGGCCGTTCCCCCCCCCCCCTCCAGGGGCGCCGCATGGCGCTTCACACCCGGACCCACACTGGAGAGAAGCCGTTCGCCTGCCTGTCCTGCAGCCAGCGCTTCGAAAAGAAGGAACTCCTGAGCGCCCACGTCAGGAAGTGCCACGCCGCCTCCCCGCCGGCCCCGGCCGTGCATGAATGTCCCAAGTGCCGGAAAGCCTTCTCCCGCTGGGTAAGCTCCCAGGGCCCCGGGCGCCATCCGTCTCCCTGAAAGGACCCTCTTCCTCCCAGGCCCAGGGTCTCTCTCCGGGCTCAACCCCAGTTATGAACCTGCCAGGTAGCGCCCGCTGTGCCTTGGGAAAGTGGCTGGTAGTCGCAGGACGCTTGACAATCTATCAAAGTGTGGTCTCTCCTTCTGCCAGAAAGACAGTCCTGCAAACAAAGCCTTGCAAATACTTTTAGGGAGTTCCCAGGCGCACGGCAATGCAGGAGGAATCCCTAGTTGTAGTGTGACACTTGGAAAGTGAATGCGATTTAGGCTTCTTCACAGGCAGAATGCAATTTTCAAAATGTTTCAGATGGTCATATATACATATATATATTATTGATTTCAGAGAGGAAGGGAGAAGGAAAGAGAGATAGAAACATCAGTGATGAGATAGAAACATCAGTGATGAGAGAGAACCATTGAGTGGCTGCCTCCTGCAACCGCAACCCGGGCATGTGCCTTTGACGTCCACAGGCTAACGCTCTATCCACTGAGCCAAACCAGCCAGGGCTCACAGATGGTCTTAATGTAGTGCTGTTGGTACTGTGCTCAGCAAACACTTACCCTCCACTTTATTCTTTTTGGGGGGTGTTGTATTTGTTTTCTCTTTGCGGCCTAACAAATTGCCTCACGCTGCTTGGCTTATAGCACCGAGCATGTCTGACCTCCGGTCCTGTGGCCCACCCTTGGCTGGTGGCTCTGGCTGCCGGCCCCCATGAGGCTGCCTCAGGGTGTTGGCGGGGCTGTACCTCTGAAGGCTGCCCCGGCTGGGGAGCCACTCCGTGGAGGTGGGCACAGGCCTGGGTTCCTGGGCACACGGACCTCTCCGTTGGACTGCTCCAGTGCGCAAGGGGGAAGCCACCGAGCCTTTGTCACCTGGTCTTAAAAGTGACAACATTACTTCTATTCATTAGAAACGAATCACTGAGCCCAGCCCATACGCAAAGGTGGGGCATGAGGTCCCTTTAGAAAGGAAGAGTGACAAAGAATGTGTGGACACTTAACCCTCACACACACACACACACACACACACACACACATACACACACACACATATGGTTAGCTAGGTCCTTAGATAATGGATGCTCCACGCTAACTTTACAAAAGTTTGAGTTATCTGAAGTTGACTATTTTTATGGAGGAAAACTTTTTTCTCTTGAAAGGTAGGGTAGCTGTGTGTTCTGGTAGGTAGCATAGTGGGATAATTCTGGAGTGTTACTGCCAAAAAGGAGCATTCCTATGGAGTTAACATTGTGCAGAGCGCCCTCTGGTGAGAGAAACAGAAAGCGGAGAACAGAGTGAGTTGGCCTCAGTGTCCCTCAAAGCGTGGAATCAGAAGCTTTCAAACTTTGTCTTTCATTCAAGAAAGAAGATATTTGGATTTACATCTGGAATGTATAAAATACTCTTACAACTTAATAATAAAAAAAAACTCAAATAACCAATTAAAATCAGACACTTCTAAACAGACACTTCTCCAAAGAAGCTCATGAGACATGCTTGGCATCATTAGTTACCAGGGAAATCCGAATCAACATCACAGTAAAGATACCCCTAGGACCAGCTGTTGTGATCGCTACAACTAAAGAAGCCATAGTGGTCCTAGCCTATTTGCTCAGTGGATAGAGCATCGGCCTGCGGACCAAAGGGTCCCGGGTTTGATTCTGGCCAAGGGCATGTACCCGTGTTGCAGGCTCCTCCCCGGCCTGGGCCCTGGTCAGGGTGCAGGCAGGAGGCAACCAATCGATGTGTTTCTCTCACATGAATGTTTCCCTTTGTCTTTTCCTCTTTCTCACACTTTCCCTAAAAATCAGTGGAAAAGTATCTTCCGGCGCCAGGATTCACAAACAAACTAACTAACAAACATACCATGAAAGAGCTGGGAACTGGGGCTCTCAGACGCTGCTGCTGGGTTAAAGTGGTGAAGCCCTGGCTGGCCTGCTCAGTGATTAGATCGCTGGCCCAGGCACCAAAGGGTCATGGGTTTGATTCCTGGTTAAGGGCATGTTCCTGGATTGTATCCCACATCTATCTCTTTCACATTGATCTCTCTCTCTCTCTCTCTCTCTCTCTCTCCCCCTCCCTCCCTCCCTGTCTGTCTGTCTGTCTCTCTTCCCCTCCCTTCTACTCTCTCTAAAGATCAATGGAAAAATATTCTCTAAGGAGCATTAACAAATAAATAAAAATAAAATAAGCCCAGCCGGTGTGGCTCAAAGGTTGAATTCCACCCATGAACCAGGAGGTCATGGTTCAATTCCCAGTCAGGGCACATGCCGGGTTGCGGACTCGATCCCCAGAAGGAGGCAGCCGATCAATGATTCTCTCTCATCACTGATGTTTCCCTCTCTCTCTCCCTCTCCCTTCCTCTCTCTGAAATCAATAAAAACATATTTTTTAAAAAAAAGCATTGCTGGTGGGAACACAAACTGGTATAGACACTTTGTAAGACACTTTGGCAGTTTCTTACGAAACTAAACATATTTTTTGCCATACGATCCAGCAGTCACACTCCTTGGTATTTACCCAAAGGAGCTGAAAGCTTATGTCCACAGGAAAACCTACTCGTGGATACGTATAGCAGTTTTATTCATGATAGCCAAAGCTTGGCAGCCACCAAGATGTCCTTCGGTAGGTGAATGGGCACTTAAACTGTGGTCCATCCGGACAATGGAATATCACCCAGCACTAAAAAGAAGGGAGCTGTCAGGCCATGGAGAGACATGGGGGAATCTTTTAAAAAGCGTTTTCTGCTGTTGCTTTTTTAAAAAAATATGTTTTTATTGATTTCAGAGAGAGGAAAGGAGAGAGAGATAGAAACATCAATGAGAGAAAAACATTGATCGGCTGCCTCCTGTACATCCCCTACTGAGGATTGAGCCCACAACCTGGGAATCGAACTGTGACCTCCTGGTTCATAGATTGACGCTCAACTACTGAGCCATACCAGCCAGGTGACATGGGAGAATCTTAAGTGCACATTACTAAGTGAAAGAAGTTAATCTGAAAAGCTATGTGCTATTTAATTCCAACTATATGACATTCTGGAAAAGGCAAAATTATGAAGACAGGAAAGACCACTGGTTTTCAAGAGTGGGAGAGGGAGGGATGAATGGGCGAAGCACAGAGGATTTTTAGGGCCGTGAAACTACTCCGTATGATACATGATGGGCACATGTCATTATACATCTGTCCAAACCCATAGAACATACACCAAGAGCGAACGTTAAGGTAAACTGTGGACTTTGAGTGATGATGATGTGTCAATGTAGGTTCATCAGTTATAACAAACTAGAGGCCCAGTGCACAAAATTCGTGCACTCGTGATGGGGGGAGGGAAGGTCCCTCAGCCCAGACTGCGCCCTCTTGCAGTCTGGGAGCCCTCAGGGGATGTCCGACTGACGGCTTAGGCTCACTCCCCACCCATCAGTCAGACATTCTTAGCGCTGCCATGGCGGTAGGAGAGCCTGGGTTCTGGCTGAGCAGTGCTCCCCCGTGGGAGCGCACTGACCACCAGGGGGCAGCTCCTGCATTGAGCATCTGCCCCCTGGTGGTCAGTGTGCGTCATAGTGACAGGTCATTCTGCCATTTGGTCTATTTGCATATTAGCCTTTTATTATATAGGATGTACCATCAGGTGGGGGATGTTGATAGCGGGGGAAGGTGTGCAGATGCAGGGCAGGGGGTATATGAAGACTCTCCATCTCCCTCACGTCAATGGGTTGCCTTCCGCACCCACCCAGACTGGGGACCAAACCCACAACCCAGGAATGTGCCCTGACTGGGAGTCAAACCCGCCACCCTTCCGTGTACAGGACAATGGTCCAGCCAGCTGAGCCACACCAGCCAGGGCAACACGCTTCCGTGCTTCAACACACAATCGTCCCAGGACGTCACAGGCAGGTCCCCTTCCTCCCGGGAGGACCCTGCTCTGCACTGGGGACGCTGGTCCTCCCAGGAGCAGCTTCTCTCCGGCACAGGGTTTGTCACACGACTTCACCCCCTGAGTCCTGAACAGCCTGGGTGTCCTGTCGGTTCCTCCACCTGCTTTTTAAAGGCTGGGCGTGTTTTCGTTTGACTTTTTTGTTCATTCAAAACTGACGTGAGACGTTCTTAACCACGAGCTTGACGAGGTTGTAGGGAGAGCGAGGCGTGCACATGTCTTTGCACTTTTCTGGGGAAGGGACCATCGCCCTTTATCCTCCAGGGCATCCTCGGCCCGAGAGGCTCCGTGTGCCCATCACCACCGTGCAAACCCGGGGCTGGCGGGCTTTTCCGTGAAGGGCCAGACAGTGACTATTTCAGCTCCTCAGACCAGGCAGACCCTCTCCGCCCCGACTGCTCGCGTCTGACGTTAAAGCACGAATGCAGCCGGAGGTGGCCGTTCATAAATGAAGGGATGTGGCTTGTCCCAGGGCACGTGCTGTACAGGAGCCGTCGGCCGGCCAGGCTGCCCTCGGCCACAGCGCGCCAGCCCCTGTGCACAAACACCACACGGAGTTCCAATAACCCGTGACCTTCCCCCTCTGTCATATGCGAATCCTCCTTCCGCCACCCATCAGCCCGGGAAGCCCCATTCCTGAAGTCAAAATGGAAATTTTATGTAATCGGCAAATTTAATGGCATGTCACCGGTATCTGCCATTAGCATATGGGCTTTTCAGATAGTGAAGGTTTTCTGCCTGATGCCAAATCCTCCGCAGTGTTCCTACCTAAGAATATATCGCTGCGAGGCTCGCCCAGGACAGACCCCCACTGTAACCTGATTGCTGTTCGCAGTGTTCATAACTCAGAGCGGGGCAGGCGAGACGCTGGCAGGGCCGTGATAGCTCTGGTCTTTTATTGGTTTTCATAAAATAGACCAATACATTGAATTTCTGGTTTAATATCAAGCCTCGCCTCAGAGAGTAGAAGCAATCTAGAAAAGTCCATTTTGACTCTGTTACAAAGAACTATCTAAAACACACCAGCTTTTGGCTCGACCTACACACAACAGAAAGGGTCACC